GGGGGGGAATTGGGGTATGCTCTGAACCTTGTGCACTTTCTAGGAATCAATGATCTCTGAGGTTCACATAATTTTTTTCTGTGACACATTTGTACGTGATGACAGGATGGCGTTTGTTGTTGTTGATGTTGATCTTGTTGTTGTTGTTGTTGTTGTTGTCGTTGATATTTGTTGTTGTTTTTGTTGTCGTCTTTGTCGTTGTTATTGTTGTTATTTTGTAACATTTGCTTGTCTCCTCCACGCCGAAAGTAACAGAGTCCGGGAATCACGTTTTTCTAACAGATAGTACAAACGTGAGTAAGTTCTAGCCACTGTTTTCACAGAGGTTGAGAGACATTCTTTGACCTCTTGCACTAACAGCTTCATTTTTTGGCTAAAATACTACCTGGACAGGGATGGATTGCCACTGCCCAAAAAATGATGAGAACCTGATTCCACCGCACCGTGTCATCAATTTTTGGGCACGTAGAGTTATCTGTATCATCTTAAAGCTTGTTCATTTCTCCAGCTTCGGGTGAATAAATGGGGGTCACATGGTTTCAAAGATAAAATTATTGAGAAAATAGCCGCCAACGATTAGTTACTTCCATAGCTTGAGAGTCCATGGAAACTGAAAATTCACATTTTTTGTGCCTTTAATCAACGATTTTCAGTAAAATCCACGCAAAAATGTGTTTTTCAGTTTTAGTTTAGTAGAGTTTTAACGGCGCTCACAACCGCATAAGGTCATATGAGCCCCAGAGAAGTGTTCTTAAATGGGCATGGAAGGTGTTGAGCCAAAAAATATAAATTCGAAAAAATTTCAGAAAACTGGAGCAAAATGCCCCTTTCTTCATTTTGATCATTTTGACGAGCGCCTGATTTCGCCACGATGACTCTCAAATAATTTACATGGGGCTGTCGTGGTCAAGAGGTCAAGGTGTTCGCCTCTCATTCAAAGGTCCCGGTTTTGAATCCGTGTAGCGATCAAAACATTTTCTTCTCTAAAATTGTCTCTTTTCACCTCCTTTCCTGCTCTCTAGCAGTGTGTCCCGAGCGCTTATATGACGTTATGCAGTTGTGAGCGCCGTAAAACACTTACCAAAAATCAACTGTCTGTTTCTACACACAGACGCATGCACCACGATAACTCTCAAATAATAATTAACTGATGATGGCAAGTTCAATTGTCTGTTTATCCCCCCCCCCCTCCCCCAGACACTATCTCTCTCTCTCTCTCTCTCTCTCTCTCTCTCTCTCTCTCTCTCTCTCTCTCTCTCTCTCCCCCCCTCCCCCAGACACGTACACCACGGAGAATGTGATGTTCTACTGGAAGGCAGACGAGGGGACTCACCCGATCACACATGACGCAGAGATAGCGCTCAACACAGAGCTGCCTCAGTTCTCTATCGTCGACAACACCACGGAGTCTTGTAATGGGACCATGGATGTAGAAACACGTGAGTGTGTGTGTGT